AAGAAAGAAAAAGAGGAAGAAAGAAGTAGAAGAAGAAAAAGAAAAAGAAGAAGGTGGGGAAGGCGGGGAAGGCTACCTCCTCGCTCGCTCGTTGGCTTCCTCTTCCCTTGCTCGCTCGCTGGCTTGCTCCTCCCTTGCTCGCTCTGTCTCGCTCGCTGGCTTCCTCCTCTTCTTCTCGCTCGCTCGCTTGCTCTCTTTCTTTGGCGCTTGATTGCTCTCCCTCCTCCCTCGCTCTTGCTCGGCCGCTTGCTCTCTTCCTCCTTGCTGGCTCAACCGTTCGCTCTCTCCGTCCTGAATCGGCCGTTCGCTCTCTCCGTCCTCACTCGCTCTCTCCCTCCTCGCTCCCTCCTCGCTCCGGCGTTGTTCCCTCGTCGCTCCCTCCTCGTCACTCGCTCCCTCGTCGCTCGCTCCCTGCTCGCTCCCTCCTCGCTAGCTTTCTCACTCCCTCCTCGCTCGCTCGCTCTCCCGCTCCCTCCTTGCTCACTTTCCCGCTCCCTCCTCGATCTCTTACCCGCTTGCTAGCTTTCGTGCTTGCTCGCTTGCTTTCAAATGTGCTCGCTTTCACGCTCGCTCGCTCGCTTTCAAATGTGCTCGCTTTCACACTCGCTCGCTCGCTTTCAAATGTGCTCGCTTTCTCGCTCGCTCGCTTTCAAATGTGCTCGCTTTCCCGCTTGCTCGCTTTCGCGCTGGCTCGCTTTCAAATGTGCTCGCTTTCTCGTTTGCGCGCTTTCACACTCGCTCGCTTTCCCGCTCCCTCCTCGCTTTCAAATGTACTCTCTTTCCCGACGAAAATTCATTAAGTAAACTTCGGTCCAGTGGCACTCAGTCGGTCGGTCGATTCGGCCATTGGTCGGTCCATCCGCCCATTTTGCAGGTCCACCCATCGGCTGGTCGGTCGGGCCTCACGACTCCAACCGCCCTGCCAGGGCGCTACAAGGCAGAGGGGAAAGTTGGGGAAACGCGGGGGGAACGCGGGGGAACGCGGGGGGGAAGGAAGGGGGGAAGGAGGGGGGGAAGGAAGAGGGGAAGGCGAGGGGCGGGGGATTCGTTTGAGAAAAGGGGAAAGACCCAAGAGCCTAGCTCAGTGGGTACACTATTGAACTGTTGAAATACAGACCCGTGTTCGAACCCAGATGATGGAACTTGATGAGTAAAACCAATTTTTTTTTTATTTTTTTTTTCAACCAAACACTTTATTACGACTGTTTCAACAAGGTCGGGGACCTCACAACTCAACCCGGATGAACCATACTGGCAGCATCAGCCAGCTTAGCTTAAGCTTCAATTGAGTATTTAAAACTAGGAACAAATTTTTGCAATTAAAGTTACAAGCTTTCCAAAAAAAAAAAAAANAAAAAAAAAAAAAAAAAAAAAAAAAAAAGGAAAGGAACAGTTCCGGTCCCAGAGACCTCTGTCCCGATATACTCCTCTGAGCGAGGTAAAAAAAAAAAAAAAGCCTCCTGGGCCTTCAACGCCTAACAAACCCAAGAAAATACAAACCAACAAACAATCAATAACCATTGTGCCATGTGTTGCCATCTAAACTTCGATGGACTATTCTCCAACACTCCCTCCGCTATCTTTCCCTCTGCTTGTCTCCTGCGACTGTTTCATTCCCTGTTGACCGAGTGCTCCGGTCCATCCCCTACCTTGTCTCCCACTACCTATTTCCTCCACAATGGGTCAGCTCACTGATATTATCTCTAGACCGTCGCCCTTTTTAGAAAAAGAAAGAGGAAAAAAAAAAAAAAAGAGAAAAAAAGAAAAGAAAGAGAAGAGGGGGAAGCAGGCGGGGACGCAGATGGGATGGAACAAGGGACGGAAGGGAGGGAGAAGGCGCGGGGAATGTGGGAAGGAGGAGAAAATGGCAGGAGGAAGAGGATGGCAAGTAGGAGAAGGAAAGGGGAGGGAGGAGTAAGATGGTAAGGAGCTGGACTAGTAGCAGAAGGAGAGGGGAAGAGGACGAGTAAGAAGATGACATGGCAAGGTTGTGTGTGTATGTGTGAGGAGGAGGAAGGAAGAACATGGCAAGGAGGAAGAACGGGCATGTAGGAGCCGGGGGAAGATGACAAGGTTGTGTGTGTACGTCTGAGGAGAAGGAAGAAGATAGTACGAGGCCAAGGATGCGGGCCTACATCTGTTCACGCAAATGACATAACACAAACACATCACGTAGGCTTACAGATTCTGTCACGCATCCTCAAATGCCTGAAAGGAAACCGACGAGACAACAATTCAGTTTTGTTCGCAAATTGTACTTATCAAATACGTTAAGGAGACAACGAGACCACGATTCGCTCATGTTCAGAAAGTGTACTTAACCGTTAGTTTCAGGACTGCATTTTCAATTCCGCTGTCATCCTTGCTTCAATCAAGGGTCACAAAAATTTTCTGTAACCTTGCCATGAGGAGGAAGAAGATGGCAAGGAGACCGAGGATACAGACAAAACATTCCTCCTAGAAAACGATTAAATAAAACATATGAGGCAGGTTACAAACACAGTCCTCAATCCCTACATCCACGCAAGGAAGAGGACATTTTTGTTGTCGTTCTTGCCTAGACTCAAGATTCTAGGGCTATGTCTGTAACCTTGGCTGAGGAGGAGGACGATGCAAAAAAGATGGATGATATAGGACTACATTAGCCTTTGCAAATGACATAAACGAAACAAGTTAGGCAGGTTACAAATAGAGTCCCACATTCCTAGATCCAGGTAAGCAATAAGAAGAAATGAGAAAGACAAGTCCTTCAAGTGTTTCTGTCCTTAGACAGAAATTCCACCTCGACCACTACATGTTCTTCTCAGACCTCTAAAGGACTGTTTTATTCCATTTCGCTGTCATTGTTATTTGAATCGGAACTATAGGGCTATATCTTTAACCTTGGTTGTGGAGAAAGAACATGAAAAGAAGACTGAGGATACAGGCCTACATCTTTCTAAGAAAATGACAGAATTACAAGAAATCAGGCATACATCAGGTAGAGGAGGAAACGACGAAGAACTGTATTTCTTATTTATTTGTAATCCAAGTTTATAGCACTATACTTTTAAAAATAGCAGTTTAAGATTACGAAAAGCATACAAATCATAAGAGTTCTTCTTACAGCGGAATTATCAAAGACAATTATTCTTTCTCTCTTTCTCTCTCTCTCTCTCTCTCTCTCTCTCTCTCTCTCTCCATGTTTGTAAATTTGTGTATTCGATACTCCTGACAATCTACACTGCAACCACGGTTATTAAGCAACTACGACGACACTCGATGCTGCTTTCTCTCTCTCTCTGTTTGTATATGTATGTTTGCTCTCTGAGCTATCGCGACGCTCAACGATGTTCGTCCTCTTTGAAATTTTTTTTGCCGCTTTCGACCTTGTGGAGTACTTCTCACAATTCAGGAATCTTGTAGTGGGGTCGTCCAAATTTTCGTGGTTTGGTCTCCAAAAAGTTGAATTTCGTATTCAACCTAAGTGGGAACCAGTTATAGCGCAAGCGGGCGTTTGGCGTTCAAAATGTTTGTTTTACCGGGTTGTGACTCTCTGAAATTTGGTCGCTAGCTATCTAAAATTTCAATTTTCGAGACGATCGTTGGCGAGAAATTTAAATTTTAACGATGTTCTTGACGACGATCTCAGTGGCTGGGCAGTCGAAATTATTTGTTTTGCCGGGAGTCCGGTCTCTCATAATTTTTGTTGCCAGCGGTCTGAAAATTGTACTTTTGCAAAAACCTTGGCGGGAATTTGACAATTTTTAAAGATATTCTTTACGGGGATCCCAGTAGCTGGGTGCGGATCGTGACTCTCCGAAATTTGGTCGCTAGCTATCTAAGCATTCAATTTTCGAGACGACCGTTGGCGGGAAATCTTAATTTTAACGATGTTCTTGACGACGATGCCAAGAGTGTCAAGACGAAGAATGGCAGGTGGTTTCCGGACCTGCGTCAATGTTGTACAAGCGGAGGCGAAAAGCAGAACCCTCTACCGAAGCTCAGTGCAACTGTTGAGAAGACCACCAATGTCTGTTTGTTTCCGAAGCGTCCGCGATCGAGCACAACAACAAGAAGGGTTACTGCGCCACGGCGAGCGGGAAACATAGTGAAAGGTCTCTGCACAACTAACAAAATTGGGAGTACAATCCAGGTAGAGCGCCCAAGGAAGCGTCAGTGCCCGAACGCTAAAGACGAACAATCAAGAGAGATTGACGATATACATGACATGAGCGAAAATTTTGTTGTGAGAGAAATGCTCGACATCAGTGTTGTGCAAGAATTGCGTGACAACAACATTGAGGAGGAGGAATCTAGCGACGACGATGCTGACGAGGAGGAATCGAGCGATGATGATGATAAGGAGGAGGAATTGAGCGAGGATGAGGATTCAGAAGACACAAACTCTGAGGAGGATGAAGGAAATGACGAGTCAGAAATTGGTGTCGACATGTTCAAGAAAAGTCTCTCTGGAGAACTTTTAGGAGAAGCGAAGCAGATAGTAGCACAAGAGGTGAGAAGAGGATTGTACAGCAAATCAAGCAAGAGTGAGAAACCTCCTTACAACTTGGGAAAGTACGGCAGAAACATACGCGTGTACAACAAGAAAGCTAACTACCACGTGAACATGACGAATGTCGAAGTGATTCTCAAGGAAGATTGCTGCAAGTCCAAATGTTACAAGCGAGAAGAACTTTGGGCGATGAAACAGCCTGAGCAAGTCAACTTCCTTCTCGCAGAGATGAGGGCTGCGTCGTATTTTTAGGATGATGGAGATTTAGAGGTGTTAAGAGTGACATTCAACGGCATAAAATTTTGCACAAAAGCGTGAGGAAAGTTGTACGGATTCTCGACTACATGTGTTGCAAAGTTGCGCAAAGACTTCAGAGACGGACTAGTGTTGTACGAGCATGCAAATAAAGGATCAGTCGGATTATTTGCTTCATTATAAATTTTTTTGGCCTGGTTGCATGAGTATTTTCGATTTAACACTGAGAGTGTGTCGAATAGCGACCAGTTTCATCTTTCAGATACTCTCCGGCGCAGAGACGTGTATGAGTTCTTCAAGCGAGACTGCAAAGAACTTTACGTTAAGAAGGCTCTTCCTTCACGTTCCAGATTTATGACTATTTGGAGGGTTCACTGCCCAAAGTCCGCATTCCTGCATTGAAGAGGTTCTCGGTTTGTTCCACATGTCTGAAATTCAAGATAGGCCGTTCACAGTCAACAAGTGCATTCGAACGAGGTAATGACAGAACCTCAATGCTTATTTTCTCTCCCCCTGCCTTCCTAACTCTTCTTTTCTCTCCTTAAGTCTTCTTCTTCTCTCTCTTTCTCTCTCTCTTTTTCTCTCTCGTGTTCATTCTTCAATGTTTTTCATAGCGCGACTGACGGTTTTGACTTATAGTCCTATACGTTTTCTTGTTGTAGAAAAGTAGATGCTGCAATTAGCGCATTCTAGAAAGGATTCTCTTGAAGCTAAAAAGTTTGTAAAAGAAAAAATTTTGTAATTGTCTGGTTTGAAGCGGCTGACTGTTCTTGGTTACGTCCCCATTCCTGCAGCTGACTCTCTCTAAAAAACTAAAACTTTATTAATGATGTCTTCGTTGTCCTGCCCGTACTCTTTCGTTTAATCAAAACAGAGATTTTGGGGAACAATGAATTTATTAGTGTACGACACTTGTGGACTGACTTTTCTGAGTTATAGCCCTGCAACACTTTGTGTAATAATCGTCTTCGAAACAAGAAAGTTTATAAAAGAAAGAATTTGTAATTGCCTGGTTTGAGGCGACTGACTGTTCTTGGTTACGTTCCCGTCCCTACAGCTGAATATCTCTAAAAGACTAAAACTTTATTAGTGATATCTTCGTTGTCTTGCCCGCATTCTTTCGTTTCATCAAAATAGAGATTTTGGGGAACAATCAATTTATTAGTGTACGACACTTGTGGACTGACTTTTATGAGTTATAGCCCTATAACACTTTATGCAATAATTGTCTTCGATTTTCAGGTCCTTATTCGGGCTTAGTCTCTCTCAAAGTTTGTGAACATGTTTTGACTTAGTATTCGCTTGTTTTGTTTTTTTTTGCGTAGAAATGTTCGGCAAGGCACTAAAAAAACACCGGTTAATGCTGGGAGAAGAGAGACAAAAACTCAGTAAGCATCGCCACAAGACTTCCAGACGACCGGCAGAGTACGTCACAATGATCATCGATGGTATGGATCAGAGCAAGACCATACTGCCACACTTCAGAAGGCCTCCAAAGGATTCGAAAATGAAAGAATGAAACTTTGTGAAAGTTCACGTGGTTGGGGCCAAGGTGTTTGGATTTTCATCAACGTCTTTGCAACTGTTTTTTTTTACAACTTCAAATCAGATTCTAATTGCATGCTAACTGGTCTTCACCGTTGGATTTCTCAACTTCCTAGACCATTTCTGAGAGTCCTGTATCTTACACTTGATAACACTTTGAAAGAGAATAAGAACAAATTTGTGTTGGCATATCTCGTGTTCTTAGTAAAGATGAGAGTGTTTAGTAAAGTGAAGTTAAACTTTCTTCTTGTAGGTCACACACACGAGGACATCGATCAGATGTTCAATTGTTTCTCAAGAAAGCTGGTTCTACATGATGCGTTTGATCTTCCTCAGTTGCAATACATCATTAGGGAGTCATACAAGGTAGAACAAGATCATGACGATTACGTCGAGGAGATGACAAAAATGATGGACTGTAAGTTATTCATTCAGGATCATCTCCAAAATGTCAATGATATTAGCTTCAATCAACATTTCCGAATCAAACGAAACGACGACGGGGAGGCGATTTTTCACTTTTTTTTGCCTTAGCAAAATGACTCCAAAATTGTGAGGCATGTACCTCACATCATACAAAACTCATAAAAAAAAAATCAGAAAAAAAAATATTTTGAGGCATCGAAATGATTTTTTTTTTTTAAATAAAAAAATAATTGAATGCCGTTCAATTTTGAACACGAATTTAAATCTGCGTTCAAACGCACATTTGAACGCGAACGCGCGTTCACGACGTTCAAACGGTCACACAGTGATTGATTGATTGATTGATTGGTTGTACACACACACACATACAACCACACACACACACACACACACACACACACACACACACACACACACACACACAAGTCCGACAGACGATTTGCACGTCAGTATCGCTGCGAGCCTCCACCAGAGTTTCCTCTGGCCTCGCCGTGCTCAGCCATAGTTCACCATTTATATTTTTTTTTGTGACTCTGTGTGTGTGTGTGGGAGACACACACACACACACACACACACACACACACAGAAGAGAGAGAGTGTGAGTGTGTGTGTGTGTGTGTGTGTGTGTGTGTGTGTGTGTGTGTGTACAATTAATCAATCAATTCATCAATCAATCAATCATTCAATCAATGAGTCAATCAATCAATCAATCAAATTAATCAGTCAATCAATCAATGAAGCAACCAATCAATCAAGATCCCATTTGCTGCATTCCGGAGGCAGTCATGGCCTCGGCACAACAAGCAGTTGGCCGCCATGCCTCGCGGAGTCCGGCCAGTCTATCCATCGTTCAAGGACATTGGGGGCGACGGTATTGTAGATCAGCGAGGGAAGGTTGCCGCGATGTTGAGGGAGGTCCGTAGCTCGTTTGAGTCGGTGGGGGTCACCATTTTGTCGAGCGGTAGGCAGACGCGAGACGGTAGGTTTATAGTTAACTTCCTCGCAACCGCCAAGCGCGGTGCCCTCATGTACGCCACTGTCCTGCGAGATGAGTCAGTGCCCGACACGGCACAGATCGTCCTGAGGAGGTGGAAGACCATTTTTCGGTTTTTCCCTCCGAAGGACGTGTTGGCCATTTGCATGGACTTTGCATCGAACTATACGTCGGCCACAAAACTCCTTACAAAGGACTCTGATCCGCAGATCCGCCGTATCACTTGGCTCTCGTGTTCCTCCCACGTCGCGAAATTGATGTTGTCTGACATCGGGACACAGGTTGCTTGGGCTACGGACACCATTTTCAGAGCTCGAGTGTGGGTGCGATTCATTAAATCGCACGGCGGTGACGGCGCGGCTTATCACCTTTTCAGGGTGAAGAGTCGTCGCCGCACACTTGTGCACCCCGTGGAGACCCGATTCGCGTCCGTTTTTTTTATGTTCGTGTGTTTGCTCGCCAGGCGCAATGCCTTGGAGAGCATGCTTCATGACAACGAGTGGGACAAGATCCCATGGGAGCTGTTGAAGCGTAGACAGGCTTTCTGGGTTCGACTAGTCATCCGGTGTGCCGATTTCTGGCGCAACGTTCACCACGCTGTCGCTGTCATGACCCCTGTCCACCAGCTGTTGAGGAAATTGGACAGGGGCGACATGATCATGTCCACAATTTACTCATGGTCGCAGGAGTTGGTACGACAGGTGGCTGCTGCTGACGTCCTTGATGACATGCGGGGGCCGTGTGTGGAGGCGGTGTAGATCCGCACCATGCATATGCTTGAGCCTACGCACGCTGCGACGCACCTGCTCAACCCCCGCAGACGCTCTCTCCGTTACTACGAGTCCGTCCGCAGTTGTCAGGACAACTACGGACCTCGAGGTGGTTACCGAGTATGACTCGTTTCTATTAGCACAGACAGGCGGTGATCCGGCGGGGGATACATACTTGAACTGCCATTTCGTCAAAATGAACATCTTTTATTTTTTGAACGAAATTGAAACCGAGTTTTTTGGGCGAAAGCTCGTCAAAATTTGTTGTTCCTGAGGGTCCGGCATTGGTAAAACGCTGGACCCTTGGCTGTACATGGAGGTGCCTGGTCTCAAGCTAGGTCCATGTACATCCAGGGGGTCCAGCGTTTGTAAGACGTTGGACCCTCAGGAACAACAAATTTTGACGAGTTTTGGGTCAAGAAACTCGGTTTCACTTTCGTTCAAAAAATAAAAGATGTCCATTTTGACGAAATGGTCGTTCTTGCGGGTGCGGGAGCAGATGTGGTCCTTCCACGCTAGGATCGGGCACACGACAGACAGGGTGACGAGGGACGCCGAGGAGGAGGCCTGTATCGGGGATGAGGAGACGAGCAGGTGCGCGTCCTGGTGGGTGGAGCACGGTGCATGCTTCCCGGACTTGCAGGAGATCGCTGGTCGTGTGATGCACATGTGGATGTCCGCCTCTCCTGCTGAGAGGAATTGGGCAAAGCATGAGCGCATCCACACGGCCAAGTGCAACAAGCTCGAGTTCAGGAAGGTCGCGCAGTTAGTTGAGATTGCTACAAAAACTACTTGGATGCAACGAGCGGAGTGGGGGGTACGTTCTTCCGTGGGGTCACAAGGCAACCCTGGTTGAGGCGCAGCCAGAGGAGTACACACACCCTGTGTTCGACGACGAGGATGAGGAGAACGAGCCTGAGCTAGAGGAGTGGGGAGCCAGAGCTCAGTCAGTAATGCCGACACATGAGATCAGCGCACAGGTTCGTCGCTTCCAGCAGCAGGGTGCTCGTTGCCCTGGGGAGTTGCTGAGGTTTTCGGTGCCAGAGCGAAGATACTGCTTCCTTACGACCACGTGCCTCCGCCGCCAGCAGAGCCGGTGCAGGCGTCTGAGGACCAGACGGACACAGAGGGTGGAGAGGATTTGCCACCTGGTGTAGATAAGAGTGCGGAGAGACTCTAGTACACGTACAGAGGAGGAGCAGTTGGATTTCAGCCACGCTGCACATTCATTCGGGAGAGCGACGACGATTCCATTTCCGCCACCGATATAGGGTTGAAGCGTTGACAGCGAGACGCTTCAGGCGGCGCGAGCGGGGTTGCCAGACGTGGCCCGAGTGGAGTTGCTTTAGGCGGGTCTAGTGGTGTACCCCGTGGTGGGTGCAGAGAGAGGGAGGTGACCGGGCTGGACAACGCGGACGACGACGACGACGAAGAGTCGTTACTGCTTCCTAAAGCACGGTTGGCGCAGCAGGGAGCCGCGCTTGCCGCCGAGGGTCTTTGGAGATCACCGAGGCTACAGAAGCTGGCGGGATCGACTTCAGGTGGTAGACGCAGGGTGTCGGACCATCCAGATGCATCAGAGCAGAGGCGCATTTGCCGAGCCAGCATACACCCACCTCAGCACCTCGAGGCAACAAGGAGCAGACGGAGCTGCGCACGAGTGACTTTCAGGGCCTTGGACTAGGATTTGCGGGCAGCAGTGTTCTAGGATGGACTGACGGCCCTGACGGGCGAGAGAAAGTGGGGGGCGAGGCCGCGTACCATCCTACGGAGGGTGGTGGAGCAAAGTCCACGGAGGAGCTCCATGCCCAGATGGATCGAGAGGAGGAGCAGAGGCTGGAGCGGTTGCAGAGAGAGTGGGTGGGTAGAGATGCGTACATGGCGGAGAAGCAGCGTCTTAGGGACTTGGAGACGAGTACTGCAGTCCCTGACTGGGGGGGGGGTCGAGCATAGCGTTCCTACAGTCCCGCACCCGTTTGCAGCCGACGCAGCGACACCCGACACCTTAGTGCCCGAGACGTCGCCCCAGGGAGCTATGAAACACCCACGGACGCGTCCGCGGGGCAGAGCTCGAAGGGCGGACGTATTCACGGCCGCCTCCGTGGCCTACTGGGTCCGAGGCGCGGACCCGACTTTACCAGATTTTTCCTTAATTCAATAATACGCCAAAAAA